AGTTTCCAAATATGTGGTTATGCCTTTCCAGCCATACAGAGTATGAGGAAGTACCATTCATAGAATCATAGAAAATTAGGGTTGGAAGGGATCTCAGGAGGTCTAGTCCAAACCCCTGCTCAAAGCATGAGCATCCGCAACTATATTATCCCAGCCAAGGCTTTGTCTACCTGGGTCTTAAAAGCCTCTAAGGATAGAGGTGAATTGTTCTAGACCTTTGTGAGTGTCATTTTCTTGCTCTTTCACCACAGGACTAAAGAACACATCTTCCAGCTTTAGGACTTCCTGAAGAAGAGGGAAAGCAATCACTAGCTTGACATTAGAACTCTGTCCCATTAGAACTTCTACACCCCTACAATTCACAATGTTCTGCTTACATATTAAGTAGACATCTGGCTCTCAACCCCCTGGCCAGCAGTCCCAGGCAGCCTCTAATCTTAAAATAAAACTATAGCACCACAACAGTCCAATATGCAACCTTCTAGTAACAGTCTCTGCAAGCTGGGGTGGCGATGCCTGGAACAGGGGAGAACACATTGAAAAGGACTTTTTTCCAGAAGTTCTCAAGGCTGATGAGATGCTCTGGAAATGGCAGCAGAAAATCTTGCGGTGAAGAAAAAAAAATTACTACTGCAGAAACTGAATAATGAACACTTTAAGAAAAGTAACAAGCAGCTAGAGACAGCATTTGTCATCCATGCTCTGGAAGACATTAGGCAGTATTTACATAAGAATCAAAGGAACAATTAAGGAAGTTATGAAGACCTTTGCAAAGCATGGGAAGGTGGCTCAAGAACAAAGGACTCTTGAAAAGGGATACCAGGAAGAGAAGCAGCATTACAGTAGCCGACAGAAGCTGACAAAAGAAGGGATCATGAAGTAGAGTCTGGCTGTGACCAAGCAGACCATACAAATAGACATGGACAATTCAGTGATAGTTTATGGAGATAGTGAGCAGACAGAATGGTGTTGGAGAGCATGTCCAAACAGCTGCAGACCTACCTATGATCATCCTTCAGCAGGTACACCAGTCACAGGGGTAACCAGCCTTAGTTCTGCATAACACTACAGAACTCGCCATACTGGGAGTCTGCATTTGTTAGTAGGACCCCCTTGTCCCAGCTTCTTCTAGCCTGGTGAGGAAAAACCATCTCCCTGGCTCCACTAGTGTTAAAGTTGCACTGCTGCTATGCCACTTCAGTCCCCAGATGAAAAGGCTGCTCACTGAAGTTTAACGCTTTTCTGCTCCAGGTTAAATATCCCTTAATTTAAACCTCTCCCTGTTGCATAGTTCTCCATGTTCTAAACATCTACAGTGTTTGCATGTTAGACACTACTGCTTCCACTTTAAGGACAATGAAAAAGTCATTGTTTTGTTAAACAATAAGGATACTTTATTTTCACTCATCAGCCTAAGTAGTGCTGTATGTAAAATTCATGGTCATCAGGGAAGACCCACAGGTGTGCACAAACTGCACAGGAAGTATACGGTGCTTAGAATCACCTTGCGATTAACATGTTCAGCTGGTTCCTTCAGGAGAGCAGACTATGGAACACATGCCATTACTGACTTCAATATAGCTTGTAAATCCCTTTCTCTGAAAGTCAGCTGGCATTTCAGGCACAGGTAAACAAATTTCAGCATGGCACTGCAAATTGGCTAACCAACTGGGGACAAGACCTGCAGCAGTGTGTTTCTCAATAATGATGGCAACTTACCTCCATACCAAAACAAGGCCCTTCAATATCATGCTTTAGTGCAGGGGCAGGTAATTTTGGACAGAGGGCTGCTGAGTTTTGGCAAGCTATCGAGGGCCGCATGATAGGCAGCCAGGGGCAGATAAATATTCATTTTCTAAATTTTTTAGGGGCCCCACAGGCCAGATAGAATGGCCTGGCAGGCCACATCCAGCCCCTGGGCCACATTTTGCCCACCCCTGCTTTAGTGCCAGATGTATGGAGCAAGTTCCTTACAGGTCCACTTCCTCATTTCAGAGCCCCTGCTATACTTATAAATCTGAGCAGTATGGTGGGTGACTGGACTGACTTCTGCCCAACAAGAGACTTAAGATAGCTAAGGGCAATGACTTCCACATTTAGGACTGCTGGGAAAAAGAAATAGCCCACAGAAATTGCTAGAAGAGCTCAGCTCTGTATGACATGGAAACTTGGGGTACATCTTAGGGCTATACATAAGTTCCAAGCAATACCCAGTGTGAACAGGGCACAGGCAGACTATATGACTCAGTCTCTTAAGACATACCAGAGCACATAAACCACAAAACTATACTGAGGAAAAGCTACAACCTTCTGTTTCAAAGAATCTTGACCCAGTTTGTAACACGAGGCAACATCAAGTCTCAGTCAATTATTTCTAGCTGCAGGTCAAATCAGAATCACTGGCCCAGGAGACTATGAAGGACCCGGATCCAGTAATGAGTCTAAGGTGGAACAATATCTTGCCAATTGCTGCTGCCCTATGTGGCCAAATTAAGGTTTCATAGTTTCTAGGGTCGGAAGGGACCTGAGCAGATCATCTAGTC